GCAATGGCGGCAATGGCGGCAATGGCGGCAAAGGTTTGTTTTTAAATGAGTCCTTGACAACAATAGAGCAGCTAACTTATCAAAGTCATTACCTCTGGTCTCTCTTTCTCGTCTGCCTCCTTGTGAAATTTGTATCCGTATTTCAGTACGTGTGCTGCTTTCTACTTTGCTTGTTGCGGCTGCAATCCAAATCTAAACCATTTGTGTGCCTATCGAAGATTTCAAGAAATACTCCGACTTATTAATTCTGTTATTTTTTTCTTTCGACATACCTTTAGGGATAGAAGTGAAAAACTTGAAAAATCATGATGTATTTCTGGTGGACACCCGCCATTATTCTTTCCTTACGTCATACTGTCGTTTCCAATCTTTGCCAAACATTTGGAATTTCTGTCCTCTTGGCATTTATAGCTGAAATTAACAAAAGAACTATCATGAGGCAAGTGCAATAAGGGAAATTCCTTTGTCTATAAAGGAAGGAAGGTTTGGGTGAAGAACAACTGCAGTGCAGTATTTGAAGCTTGCTAAAAGGTACAAGGCGACGAAGGTTTATTTTCACTTGAGTGCTTGAAAACAATGTCGCATATAACTGATCAAAATTATCAGTTCTGGTTTGTTTGTGGCGTCTGCCTTCGGATTATTTTTGTATCACGATTTCAATAGGTTGCTTTGTTCTTTGCTTGTTGCGGTTGCTTTTTAAAGGTGATTTATTTGAGTGCCTCTAAACAATTTCAAGACCTTCTCCGACTGACGGATTCTGCTACTTGTTTGCTCCCTTCATTTCATCCCTTCATTTCACATACTTTTATAGATGAAAATGAAAAACTTCTCAAAACATATTCTGCCTTTCTGAAGGACATCCACTATTTGTTTTTTCCTAACGTTATGCAATTGGTATCAATTTTGGCCTAATATTTAGAACTTCTGCCTTGTGGACCGTCGTGGTCTGTTGTTGTTGTTGTTGTTGTTGTTGTTGTTGTTGTTGTTGTTGTTGTTGTTGTTGTTGTTGTTGTAGTTGTTGTTGTTGTTGTTGTTGTTGCAATTTTGTTAAGTTAGACATTGTTTACTCAAATAATAATGTTCCTTTCCATAACTGGTTTTATTCCCTTCCGATTTTTAGGACACATTCTTATCTTAGCATGTATTGGAATAAGAAAAATTCCATGAAAAGGGTATGTAAGTCAGATGCTGATGTCTTGTCTCAGCCTTTTCTTTTACGTTTTGTCTCAGACCATGATGAGGAACAATGCGATAAAGCTAACTGTAGAAAATTAAAACTCGAATGTAAAAAGGAAGAGAAAGGTCAGAAAACTCTTTCAAATGCCAAGAAAATCAGGTCTATAAAGAAAACTTAAGAACTGTCACAGGCATGTGCAATACGGGTAAATCTTTTGGCTTTAAAGGAAGGAACGCATGGATGAAAGACAAATGCCTGGCAGTATTCAGGGTTTGGTACAAGCCAAAAGACGGTGAAGGTTTATTTTCATTTGAGTTCTTCGGAAATATATAGCAACCACTGTTTTGAATTCACTTCTTCACGTTTGTGCATATCTTCTGTACTCTGATGACTTTTGCACCGCTCTTTCTATGCAATACTTTCTACTTTTCTTCCTAATGACTGCGTTATTAATCTGAATTATTTGACTGCCTATCAAAAGATTTAAGGAATACTTCAACTGACTGCATCTTCTTCGATCTACCCATTGCATTTCACTTACTTTTTTTTGTAGATTGGGGGGGGGGGGGGGTAGATAAACTAGAAAACTAGCAATAACCTACAGTTTTCCTAAAAGACATCTACTACTAGTTTTTATCGTCATGTACTCGTAAGCAATCCTGGCCAAATTTTTAAAATTTTTGTCCTATTGACATTCTTGGTCTTGCTTTACCTTTCCGAGTCAGTAAGTGTTTACTGTGGCAGTGAATTTTCCGTCTGCAATCGGTGTCATTGCTGTCCAATATGTTTTTTTAGAAACATTTGCATTGGAAGGTAGTTCTTGGCGTGTATTAGCTTGAGTAAAATGCCGTGAAATGGGTAAGTAATTTAAGTACTGACGTCTGCAGTATATTTATTTACATTTATTTTCCAGAAGATGATGAGGAAGATGAAGGCGATAATAACAACTGCAAAACATTTAAACTTGAAAGCAGAAACAAACAGAAAGACCAGAAATCTCTTTCAAAGACCAAGAAAATCAAGTCAATGAAGATTACGAAAGAGCTGTCAAATCGCAAGTGCAAAAAGAATAAATCCTTTGGATATAAAGGAAGGAAGGCCTGGGTGAAGAACAACTGCCGTGCAGTTTTCAAAGTTTGCTACAAGCCAAAAGGCGGCAAAGGCGACGAAGGTTTGTTTTCAATTGAGTTCTTGAAAACCATTTATAAGCTTACATATCAAAATATTCACTTTTGGTCTGTGTACCTCGTCTGCTTTCCCGTGAATTGTTTTCTCCTATTTCAATGGATAGCTTTCTTCCTTGCTTAATCCGGTGGCAATCCAAATCGAAACCTTTTGAGTGCCTATCCACTGTGTCAAGAAATACTCCAAACGGCTGATTCTGCTCTGTTTTGCTCCCTACGTTTCACATACTTTTGCGATACAATTGAAATCTTGAAGAACCATACCGTCTTTCTGAAAGACACACTCAATGTGTTCTTTCTTAACGTCGTACAGTCGGCATCAGTTTGGCCGTGCCTTTGTAATTCCTATTCTCTTGACATTAACGACCTGTTTGGTTTTTGTTGTTCTTTTTTTTTCATACTGTGATTATAATATTTTAAAAATTTAATTGTTGTCATTGAAGTTCAATATTTGTTAAACATTCTTAATGAAGGGTATTTTTTTCATCTTACATTAGATTGAGCAAAATGCCATGAAATGGGTATGTAAACTGGGTCATAACGTCTGCAATATGTCATTTTGACCTTTTCTCTCAGACCCTGTTGAGAAAGAAGGCTATGAAGGCAATTGCAGAACTTTAAAACTTGAAAGCAAAAATGAAGAGAAAGACCAGTAATCTCTTTCTAATGCGAAGAAAATCAAGTCAATGAAGTTAACAAAAGAACTATCATGGGGCAAGTCCAATAAGTGGAAGTCCTTTGGCTATAAAGGAAGGAAGGCCTGGGTGAAGAACAACGGCGTGCTGTATTTGAAGTTCATTACAAGGCAAAAGGCGACGAATAAGGGTTTTAACTGAGTCCTTGAAAAAATGTCACATTTAACAGATCAAAGTGATCAGTTCTGGTTGGTGTATGCCGTCTGCTTCCTGATTATTATTTGTATCAGGATTTCAATAGATTGCTTGGGTACTTTGCTTGTTGCTGTTGCATTTGAAACCTGATTTATTTGAGTGCCTCTAAATAATTTCAAGAACCTCTCCTACTGACGGATTCTGCAACTTGTTTGCTCCCTTCATTTCACATACTTTTATAGATGAAAATGAAAAACTTCTAAAAACACATTCTGTCTTTCTGAAGGACACCCACTATCTGGGTTTTTTCCTGACGTCATGCAATTGGTATCAATCTTGGCCTAATATTTTGAACTTTTGCCCTGTGGACCTTTGGGGTCTGTTTTGTTTGTTGTTGTTGTTGTTGTTGTTGTTGTTGTTGTTGTTGTAATTTTGTCAAATTAGACATTGTTCACCCAAATAATAATTTTCCCTTCCGTAACTGGTTATATTTCCTTCCGATTTTTAGGACACATTTTTATCTTAGCATGTATTCGAATAAGAAAAATTCCGTAAAAATGGTATGTAAATCAGATGCTGATGTCTGCAGCCTTTTCTTTTACTTTTTGTCTCACATAATGACGAGGGAGAATGCGATAAAAACAAGTGTAGAAAATTAAAACTTGAAAGTCAAAGCTTAGAGAAAGGCTAGAAAACTCTTTCAAATGCCAAGAAAATAATGTCTGTGAAAATAATCAAAGAACTGTCACAGGGCATGTGCAATAAGGATAAATCCTGTGGCTTTAAAGAAAGGAAAACCTGGGTGAAGGACAACTGCCAGGCAGTATTTGGTGTTTGCTACAAGCCAAAAAACGTTAAAGATTTCTTTTCCCTTGAGTCCTTCGGATATATATAGCAACCAGTATTAAAGTCACTACTGTACACCTGTGCATATTGTCTATACTGTAATGACTTTTGCTTCACTTTTTCTACGCAATACTTTCTACTTTTCTTCGTAATGACTCCGGTATTAGTCTGAATTATTTGACAGCCTATCAAAAGTTTAAAGAAATACTTTAACTGACTGAATATTCTTCGTTACGTCCATTGCATTTCAAGTACTTTTTTCAGATTGGGGGGGGGGGGGGGGGGGGATTGTCTGCAATCCGTGTCCCTGCTGTCCAATATTATTATTTTTTTAAACGTTCGCATTTGAAGATATTTCTTGGCGTGTATTAGCTTGAGCAAAATGACGTGAAATGGGTAAGTAATTTAAGTACTGACATCTGCAGTATATTTATTTACATTTTTCCCCCCAGAAGATGATGAGGAAGACGAAGACGATAATGACAACTGCAAAACATTTAAACTTGAAAGCAGAAACAAACAGAAAGACCAGAAATCTCTTTCAAAGGCCAAGAAAATCAAGTCAATGAAGATAACAAAAGAGCTGTCAAATCGCAAGTGCAAAAAGAATAAATCCTTTGGCTATAAAGGAAGAAACGCTTGGGTGAAGAACAACTGCCGTGCAGTTTTCAAAGTTTGCTACAAGCCAAAAGGCGGCAAAGGCGACGGAGGTTTGTTTTCAATTGAGTCCTTGAAAACCATTAAGACGCTTACTTACTTATCAAAATATTTACTTTCGGTCTGTGTACCACGTCTGCTTTCCCATGAATTTTTTTCTCGTATTTCAATGGATAGCTTACTACCTTGCTTATTCCGGCT